CCAGTAGAGATATACTACACAACATATGAACCGTGACAAGACTAAAAAGGAATATGCTCATATCATGCTCATGATAAAACAATTTATCTCTCTTTTTATAAAGCATGCAGACTGGTTAACAATCAATTGTGAATCACAAAAACCAATTCCCTCGTCTGCCTCTGCTGCTGCTGCTAGCTTTAGCCCTGCAATTAATGCTTCATATTCTGCTTCATTATTGGAGGCTTTGAACCCCAGACGGATGGACTGTTCTACAATTTCTCCATCTGGAGATATCAGCAGTACTCCTGCTCCTGCTCCCTGGCGGTTTGAACTTCCATCGGCGAATAGTCTGAATGAATCGCCGATGTAGATGCTGCATGGTCTGAGCTTTTCTTTCTCTTGCTTTTTTGTCTTTGACTGGGATTCTTTTTGCTTGTCGGGGCAGTGTTCCTCTTGGCTCGACGGAGCCCGAGGTGTGATGGCTTCCGATGTGAGTTCTGCGACGAAGTCGGCCAAAACTTGGCCCTTTATTGCTGTTCTTGGCCTAAATTCTAGGTCAAACTGGCCTAGTATTACTGCCCATTTTGCTATCCTTCCTGTTAAATCTCCTTGTTGCAACAAGGACTTCAGTGGGTGCTCTGTTAGGACCACAATCTCATCCTATAATTCCAAAAGAGAAAATAAGGCTCTGTTAGGACCATAATTTTGTGTGCCTGAAAGTAATGGCTCAATTTCTTTGAGGCCATTACCAAGGCTAGCATTAATTTTTCCAGTGGTAGGTACCTTGTTTCTGCGTTGGCCAAGGTTTTGCTTACATAATAAGCAACCTTTTGCTCCCCTTTTTCCTCTCGGATTAGTACTGCACTGACTGCGTGTTCAGAGACTGCTAAGTACAAAAACAATTCCTCCCCTGGGATTGGGTTAGAAAGGACCGGGGTTGTGGTCAAGTACTTTTTTAGGTCGGCTAAGGCAGCTTCACATTCCTCTGTCCATAGGAAGTCTGTGGCTTTTTTCACCAGGTTAAAGAAGGGTCTGCACTTGTCTGAGCTTCTGCTGATGAATCGGTTTAGGGCTGCGGCCCTTCCAGTGAGCACTTGAACTTGCTTTGCCGATGTTGGACTCTGTAGTTCCAAGATGGCCTTGATTTGGTCTGGGCTGGCTTCAATGCCCTTTCTTGTTACCAGATATCCTAGAAATTTACCTGACCCAACTCCGAAGACACACTTTGAGGCGTTGAGTCGGAGCCGATATCTTTTGAGTATGTCAAAGACCTCTTTTAGGTCGGCAAGATGACCCTCTGATTTCTTGGTCTTTACGACCATGTCATCGATGTAAACTTCTATCATTTTACCAATTAGATGTTTAAACATCTTTGTCACTAACCTCTGATAGGTTGCTCCTGCGTTTTTCAGCCCAAAAGGCATTACCTTGTAACAGTACAGGCCTTTCGGGGTGATGAACGCGGTTTTCTCCTCATCTGGTGGGTACATAGCAATCTGGTGGTACCCTCTATATGCATCTAAAAAACTCATCCTTTCATGTCCCGAGGTGGCGTCTACCAGTTGGTCGATTTTGGGCAGAGGGAAGCTGTCTTTCGGGCAAGCTTTGTTGAGGCTGGTGAAGTCTACACAAACCCTCCCCTTGCCATTCTTCTTTTTTACTATTACTGTGTTGGACAGCCACGTTGGGTACTGGACTTCTCGGATGACTCTGGCTTCAAGGAGTCTGTCTACCTCTTCCTCGACTGCTTCGACGTGCATTAACGTCGGCCTTCTGGCTCGTTGAATCACAGGTTTTGCCGATCTGTCGACTGTAGACACCCCATTTTTGACCGTCCTCAAGACTTGGACGTCACCGTTTGAACACTCGCTGATTATCCATGTTTGTGTTCGTTTGGAGTTCCCGGAGGCCTCGGCTCGCGCGCCTTGCCTCAGGATCCCCGAACTCGACCGTTTAGTGTCTGGTTTTGCACCAAACACTTGCATCTTGCCTTGGAAGGGAAAAATGGGGGTTGTAGACCATCCCCACCCATCACCGGCAGTGTCTAGATGCCACCGGCTGGTTCTTGCTGCCACCGGCAATATTGTTTGTCGGCCGGCACTCTTTGTTGCCGGTCAGCACTCTTTTGCGCCGGTCGGCACTCTTTTTGGCCAAGATGGCATTTTTTGCCGGCCGATTGCTGTTCATCTGCTTTTGCAGATATTTTTAGACAGCTGTATTGCTTTTGCTCCCCTCCATACACGTGTATGGAGGGATCTCCCTCTTGCAAAGCTTGTCTTGTAAGCTTTACAAGACAGATTCAGGAGCTTTAGGAGGAGGAGCATCTACGGCAACTGGAGGAATAGGAACCCAATTCGTGGAGAACTTATAACTAAGGATACAGCTTGGTGTGAAAGTTCTCGCTTCTATCTTTCCAGCTGCGCATGTTTGAATACGATCAGTTACACCAGACAGGCAAGAATTGCAATACGTTGGTGACAAGTCTGCTGTACACTGTGCCATGCTAGACAATTTCCAATCAGTTGAGATAGGATCTTCTCTGTCTGCATACATAGTGGGCTTAGAAGTATTGGAAATTGCCTCACTTCTCAGTTTAGTGAATATTTCCTGCAAACCATATTTGGGTAGGTCTTGAAGAACAATAACACAAATTGGTGATCCTATCTCCATGGTAGAGAAGAAAGATCTGTTTGAGTAGCGAATAAAACACACATTATGCCATATATATGCCTCTTTTCTGAAGGGACATCTTTTTACAATCTCACTGATTGCCTGCTTGAGGCAATTCTGGCAGTCACTCAGGGAAACCTCACCGATGCAGAGGAACCGAGCATAAACTTTGTCTAGGTCATCCCCTTCTGTCACGCTGGGGTAGATCACTTTGCCACTACCATTATCAATGTAAAGTGGTGACCGGTTGAAGGGGTGGTTCAGGTTGATATCAAATTGGCTACCAGCAGTGAAATTGGCATCCTGGCATACCGTATCTATGAAGGAAACATTTGCCATGATCAGACACTGTGGGAGGATCAAGGTTCTAAATCGCGGTATCGGGTAACGTAACGGTATCGATCGCGGAGTATCGGTATCGGTAGTATCGATCGGTACGTATCGGGAATTGGGTGTCACGGTGGTGAAATTTTAAAAATCATTTCAAAGGTTTTTCAACTTTTTCTTTCCCGTATCGGTCCGAACCGGTGAGTATCGGCCCGTCGCGGCTTGTGTAACGCTTACAGGCCGATACGTACCGGGACTCGGCCGATACTCCTGCGATTTTTAATCTCAGTGGTATATCGGCCTGTATCCGTCGCGGCACCCCATTTTTTCGATACGTATCGGCCGATACGTAGCGTATCGGCCGATATTTAGAACTATGAGCTACCATCAATTTACTCCTGCATTGCCACACATATCATATCATTCAAACCTCAGTTGAGTTTTTGAGCATAACAAATTCCCGGTTTTGAAACTCAATTCAGATCACCATTTCCTCCTAATTATCCCCTCAAACACAAAGCCTACAACTGCTAACAAACACACACAAAACAGAAAATGGCTGAAACTGCAGTGTTCCATCTTCTAGCCAGCTTTGCACCCTTCCTTCAGGAAGAGGTGAATTTGTTGAGTGGAGTTCGGGAAGCAATGGAAGACATCAGAGATGAATTGGAGCGCATGTCGGCTTTCCTCAGAGTTGCTGATGCTACGGAAGAAAGGGACCCCGAACTGAAAGTTTGGGTCAAACAAGTCCGAGATGCTGCTTATGACACTGAAGATGTTTTTGACGAATTCAAGCTTCACCTTGCACAACATCACGGCGATGGATTCAGTGGTTTCTTTCGTAAATCTTTCTACTTTACCAAGACTTTAAAGGCTCGCCATCAAATTGCTTCTAAAATACAAAGAATCAAGTCCAAAGACATCAATATTTTTGAGGGACATAAACGATACCATGATACATATGGTATACTAGAGCAAGGCTCAATGTCCAATGTTGTTAACAATTCATGGTATGATTATCGTGGTGATGCGCTTCTACTCGAAGAAGCAAAGCTAGTGGGCATCGAAAAGCCCAAAAGACAACTGATAGAGTGGCTAGTCGAGGGAGGTTCTGGGTTGAAAGCAGTTTCTGTGGTGGGAATGGGGGACTTAGGCAAAACTACCCTGGTCAAAAAAGTCTACGATGATGCAACGGTGAAGAAACATTTTAACTGCCATGCTTGGCTCACTGTTTCCGAGTCATTCAGGGCTGAGGATCTCCTGAAGGAGATGATTCAACAACTCTTTAAAGAAATCATGCAACCAGTCCCTGTTGGAGTTGAAACGATGAGCATTGACAAGTTGAAATATCTGGTTAATAATTTTCTACAACAAAATAGGTACATGGTTGTTTTCGATGATGTTTGGAATGTTAAAGATTGGGAGGCTATCAAACACATGCTGCCTGACAAAAATTGTGGTAGTCGTGTCATTGTCACAACTCGTTTCGCCGATATAGCTTCTACCTGTTGTAATGAAATTGACGGTAATGATTATACCTTCGACGCCATTGTCCCTAGAGGAGTCTTCGACACTGTTTTGCAACAAGACTTTTCAGGAGAACTTATGCCCTCCGAACTTGAAGAAAATTTCTCTTCGAATCTTAAAAATGTGATGCCCCAATTCTACACTATTGGTTGCAGTCAAGGGAGAGTCACTAATGAGTCCTATGGTCAGTAACCAAGTAAGATCCCAAATCGCCGGAGGAGTCAAATTAGTCTCCTTTCTAAGTCCAGCTTTCTTAGGTAGCGCACTACCCTTTAACAGATCTTAAAAGGTATTGACACAAAGTCTCATAAGCAACGATAGGGTTCATACATATACGTAGAATATAAATACATATCAACCACAAATATCCTTAATTCAAAAGATTGTTCCATTACGTTACATCCCAAAAGAAAGTTTAAATCTTCACATGAGTCTTACAAAATATCAAAAAGAAATTTCTAACTTTCCTAAGATAGCCAAAAGTCTTCGAAGGTTTCAGGCTCGTCGTCTCCAGCTATAAATTCCTCTTCGTCACCTGGCATGATATGCCGTGAGCTTTGAATGCCCAGTAAACACACACACACCCCGTCCCTTTTTCTCCAGTCCAATACACAATCACAAATATAACATCAAGTAGTAAAGCATGATACTCAAATAAATAAATAAAGGGTTACAAGTTAGATGTTAGTAAACTAGAAATCTCCCAAAGAGATTTCGTCCTCCCAACCACAAGAGTCGGATGCGGGTTATTCGGTATGCCCCCTCTTTTGCTGATTTGTTGCAGAACCAATGGTTATATACCGCGTAGCGCCAACCGTAGGGCCTCAAAAGTGATTGTAAAATAGGGCCTTGCCCGAATCCCTCCTCACACCAAACCACCTAGGGTCCGAATACAACCGTTCCGTTCAAGGGTTCCGAAAACCACTTGCGCATGACTTAAACTTCCAAATAGGGAACGCATGCCAACAATCCATACATCACACATTATCATCTTTTCATTACTCAAGAGATCGAAAACCCAATACCATCCCAATTAAGTTTTCCGTTGAGTTAAATGTTTTAAATCAAGGTTAGACAACTTAACAAGATAATAATATCCACACAAGCATGCACCAATAAGATGAAGAAGATAAAAAACATAACCATAACACATACAATATCATGCCAAGATATGATCATAAGCTAATAAGCATTTTCATGAACACAAGGGCATAAGACATCAAACACAACAGAATTTTCCAAATTCAATATCACATAAGGATTAGAATGAAAGGACTATTTTAGGTTTTTCACCGGACTCGGCCTTCCTATGGTTCGTAGAGAATTTGATATAGTTTCTAGAACATATTTCGGAAATGGGATAGCTTTTCTAGATTTTAAGTTATTTAGAAAACATTCCAGCGCTGTCCAGATTTGTCGATCGTTACGAAAATTTGATTTTCTTGCAAACCGCTCACTGTTTTTCGATGAAACCAATTTTAGTTGAAAGCTAACTCCTTAAGGAAGATTTTGACATAAAATATAGGTCCAGAATAATTTTATACATTTTTCTAGAATTTTTGAAAGTGGACTGCGAAAACAGATTCTAAGATACAATGCCCAAAACAAGAAGATTTATGAGAAAAGGGATCCACTAAGGGAAAATTTTCGTTTCTTTTGTGATGAAAACATGCTAAATAACATATATTAAACTCAAAAAATTTTCTTGAAGGTGTGCCTTTGGAAAGTTTGAGAGATTGGTATGAAAAAGGTAGTTTTGGTACCGAAATGAGTGAAATACAAGAGAGGTAGAATCATGGCTCAACTCTTATCATTTTTAACACAAGTAACGCATCAATAGAACATCTGAAATCAATATTTAGAACCCTTAAGAACATGTATTTGAAAAAGGAAAATGAAAGAGAAGGTTGTGTTGTGGCTTACTTGCTAAGCTTTGAACAAGAAGGCTCTTTTCTTCCTTCCTCTCCCTCCCAAGACTTCTCTCTTGCTCTCCTTCCTCTCCTCTAGCCGAATGTGTGTGTGTGAGTGTGTTGTTTGTGCTTGCCAAGCTAAGGGATGGTGGTATTTATAGGCAAATTTTGGTGTAAAAGGACATAAAAGCCCACTAGTTGGAAATGGATGGAAAGGTTAGGATTTGTTTGGAGTCTAATGGGATAGGAGTGATTAGGGAGCTTAATCATAGGATTAGGCAACATCTAGTTGATTCCTAGTTGAAATGAAACTAGTTTGGAAACAACATCCTAGGTCTAGGGTACTAGGTTTTTGGGTTTTCTAGAATACCATGATTGTGAATCTTGAAAATTGGCTTCTCACTTCTCCCTAGGGTGGCCGGCCATTGGGAAGGGTGATGGGGCTATTTTTTTTTTTTATCAATTTAGGTACTAGGGGCTCATTCCTCAATGTATATATATACATAGATCTTATTTGATTGATGGTACTTATAGTATAAGGGTACATGTACTAGTTTTTGGGGTAAATTTTGAATTTAAATAAAGAAGTAAGGGCTTGGAGTTAAATTCATGTATTGGAACCTTACTTATGTAGAATTTAATTAAATTAGGTTAAGGAACCTAATTTGGCTAGGATATTCCTGTTTTGATGAAAAGGAAAAAAAAAAAATGCTAACAGACAAGATTCGAAATAATTCAAGTAACCGAGGGGCTTTAAGGAAATAATTCAAACATTAGGGTCTTTAAAGTGAATACATTTTTCAGGGGCTTCACAAAAAAGATGCGAGGGATTGCCGCTTGCAATTGTAGCGATAAGCGGTGTATTGACTACAAAGGACAGAAGCAGAATAGACGAATGGGAAATGCTTTATCGTAGCCTTGGTGCTGAATTAGATGGCAATGAAAAACTAGAGAGTATGAAAAAAGCACTCTCTCTCAGTTACAATGATCTGCCTTATTATCTAAAGATTTGTTTCTTGTACTTGAGCATTTTCCCGGAGGATCAACAGATATGGTGTAGAGGAATAATTCAACTTTGGATAGCAGAAGGTTTTGTGAATGCTATTGAGGGAAAGACAATAGAAGAAGTTGCAAAAGGCTACCTCGATGAGCTATTCAATAGGAGCTTGATTCAAGTGGCAGAGAGATATCCAGATGAAAGACCTTCTCATTTCTGCATTCATGACTTGATGCATGAAATTATTGTTTCAAAGGCGAGAGAGCAAAACATTGTAACAACAATTTGCAAACAGGGCTCAAGGAGGCCGGAGAAGGTCCGACGCCTTTTGATCCGAAGCACCTCGGATAATGTGGAATATAGCAAGCGTTTTTCTCAACTTCGTTCTCTATTTGTGTGGGGACCGATGGATTCATTGCCTATTGCATCCTTGCATGAGTTGTTTAGACGTGGTTCGAGGCTGCTAAATGTGTTAGATTTGGAAGGTAATCCATTAGAGACTGTACCAGATGAAGATTTTAAACTGATCCATCTCAGGTACCTTGGCTTGAGGAATACAAAAGTGAAGATGGTCCCAAAGTTGATTGGGAAGCTTGAGAAGTTGGAGACCATAGATCTAGGAGGAACCTATGTGACTGAGCTGCTTGATGAAATCCTACACCTTCAGAGATTGCGCAATCTCAAATCATAGCATTTGAAATCAAGAACCGTTTATTTGAAATTTGGAGATTTTAGTGGCTTCAAAGCTCCATCTCAAATAGGAAGGTTGCAATATCTACAAGTGCTGTGGAAGATAAAGGCAGACCAAAGAAGTGAAGGTGGGATTAGTATAGTGAAATAGCTGGGAAGGCTAACCAAACCAACTAAGGATTGGGAATTTAAGACAAGAAGATGGGGTGACTTTGTGCTCTTCCATTGAGAAACTTAGTAATCTTCGCATATTAACTGTCATTTCAATAGAAGAGGATGAGATCCTTGATCTTCAATCTTTGTCTCCAGTTCCTCAATTTCTTCAGCAGTTATACTTGACTAGACGTTTGGAGAAGTTTCTGCACTAGATACCTTCTCTCCATGGCCTTGTCAATTTAATTTTAGGGTGGAGCAAGTTAAGGGATGATCCTTTGCAATCCCTACAAGAATTACCCAACTTGGCTAAGCTTGTACTTGATCATGCATACGAAGGAGAGGGACTGTGTTTCAAGGTAGGAGGGTTTCAGAGGCTTAAATTTTTACTTCTTTATAGATTAAAAGGGTTGAGGTGGGTGAGAATGGAGGAGGGAGCAATGCCCCACCTTGAAATTCTAAAGATCAGAAATAGTGAATTGATGGAGGAGGTCCCCTCTGGCATCGAACATCTAACCCACCTCCAAACGTTTGAGCTTGGTGATATGTCTGAGAAATTGATTTCTAAGTTGAATTGGAAAGTAGAGGATGGGGATTATTGGAAAATAGTGCACATCCCTCAAGTTAGAATTTGGTATTTAGAACCTGGTCAAAGTGAAGTAAAGTTTCTATGAAGAGAGAGAAAGAGGAAGGAGAAGAGATCTCTCTAGATTGGATCAGTATCATAATAAAAAACCATTTATTTCCCTTATTTTCATTTTTATTACATATTCTAATGATGGTTTCTTTTCTTCTTGATCTAAGAGATCTCTCTAGAGTAATTGATTGCACTTTATTTTTACTTATTTAGTTCCTATGTAATTTTTATTCTAAGGTAGACTTTCAAAAATTTAAACTTTATAAATCTTTTAATTTAGACTTTTTAAAACACACACACACAAAAAAAAATCTAATTATTTGATATAATTGCTTCAAAAATTAAAATGTGGATACAAAAACTTTTATATAATTATATTTCGTGTTTATCACTAGTATGATAAAATTTGACATTTTTTCTTGTAAAGTCTAATTTCTTTATAGTTAATTTGTACAGTAAGTTATAAAATAAAATTTTGATTGTTCAATGAATTGGGAACAAAAATAGGCATAAGATTTGAGATAAGAAATAATATATATATATATATATATATGGGATTAATTACACTTTTCATCTCTCTAATTTGATCTAAATTTTACTTTAGTCTCTATAATTTTAATTTGAACAATTTAGTTCCTATATTTTAAGTCTAGTTTCTTTAGCAATCCCGGGTTGTCCTGTAACGCCCTCAAAATAATAACATTAAACCCAACAAATAAGACATGCGTTGACGTATAAACAAATCCACCTTCTATTATCCATTAGCGTCTCATTACATAAGTATTACATGTTAACATCATAACAAAATGCCCTACGGGCTTACAGCTTTCCAAGTTAACACTTGGTTACAACAAAGAGTACTAACTCGATACACATTAAGCCCTTGGCTTGAAGTTACATGTAATACATCAAAAGTAAAACAACAAAACATGTCCGCCTCTTAGCCTCCCAGCTATGTCCTTGGAGGTGGCATGCTTCCTGTACCTGAAAATGATATTCCCACA